AGCTTTTTTTCCCAAAAATTTGTCTTCAAAATAATGGTGCGTCTTAAACACCGGTGCGTCTTATATTCCGAAAAATACGGTAATTAGAAATAAAGTAGAGAATGTTCATTGAGAAAGACGTGCGATTTAAACTGCATTTCAAATATAACTTTTAGGTTTCTGTTTCCTTTTTTCGTTAGAAGTATCTTTACGAAATTTAGTAAAACTACAACAATCAATGTGTTTCTGTAAAAACTTTATTTTCATCTTACAAACAGGCACGAAAACCGTCTAATGTTTTATAAAACACACAACCGATACCGTACTAATAAATCAAATTCTCTATTTCACGAAAAGTTTTTTATTTCTATTAAAACTTTAGAATTAGACTTAGAAATAATAACAATAATATTGCGTCCATAACGAATAATAACGCATGAAAGTAAAATAAACGACGTTGATTCCAACCAATCCATTTGACTGAGCCCAAGGAAGAAAGTTCCCATAATCCGCTGCTTGGGCGAAAGTGATTAAAGCCCAGGAAGACAGATGTTCTCGTAAGTCCGTGGTACGGACCTGTGTTTGAAGTAATGATTCGTAGTTGATATGTTGAAGCTGACACCTTTCTAAGCCTCTTATTAAGTTCCTTTATATTGCTTCAGGCAGTTTGACAACAACGAGATTGCTTGTATCGACGAGGCAGCTCTCCGAGGACTTGATCATCTGGAGATTCTGTAAGTAATGATTTGCTACACTATGCTGTTTTGTTTCTTTCCCACTTAGTCCACACTTTCAGTTTCAAACTAGAACAATTCCATTACTTTGATTGATTGTGAACCAGTAAGTAAGAGCTCCAGTTTTATCATTAACTACTCTTAAATATTGTAAATTGACAGTTATATAAGTGAAAACCTCAGTTACGTGTTTCATTTATTTCTCCAAAGTATTTTATAAAACTCAAAATTAACTTGAGGCTCTCAGTTCGAACTAAGATTAAACTTTTTTTACAGATGATTAAGTAATGAAGACATTATACCGAAGGAAACGCTTAAAGTTTAGAAACTCAAATGTTCTAACGTACAGAAAAATTTATTACATGTCAAAAATTTTGATTTGAAGCAGTGTTTACATGTATTTTTTCTATTTTTGCCCTAATCAAGAGACGTGTTTTTTTTTACACATTCACAAAACTGAGTAATAACTGTGTGTTATGAACATTAATATTTTACAGCACGTTGAACAGAAACAACATCACGACTTTAGGAAAGAATCTCTTCGAAAATATGAAGAAATTAAGAGTTATGTAAGTAGAGAATGTGATACTTAATCATTTTAACATACACTGAGTGGTCACAAGTAAATAGACACCACCGTTTCAGAAA